GCAAGAATACAGTACATGCATGAGCTGTATTCTGTAAATAGGATTAACTGTAGAATTCAACCAAGGTCTTCCCTGGGGACAGATTGCTGAAAAATACATCTACATGACATTTTAAAAATAAATTAACCAGTGACATCAGCTCCTATGAGATGCAGCTTCTCATACATTCAATTTTCTCCCAGTTTTCTGTAGCTCTCTTCTGACAATCCCATTCCCATAGAATTTCAAACCAGAAAGAGAAACAGAGCAGCTATAGCTATTTCATCTCTTTTGCATTGTGTTAGATACACAAAGGAAAGATACACGAACATTTTTAGCACCATGTGACATGATAGTATCATGTCTAAAGCTGATCTTGTTATGCTGTAGTCACATATAACTTGCCCAACAGAACGTTCAAAGTCTGGATTCACACAAAGACCAACAGGGACAGCAGGAAGATGAAGAGGGTTGAGTTGTATCGGAGGGGCTGCCTTTTATTAAATTTGAAAATGTCTTTTATCATGAACATTTCTCTTCTCATTTTATTTATTCAAATTTGTCTTCCTCACATGCAAAATATGAAGATTATATATGTAATATTAAATGAGAGATCTGTAGATTGTCATAAAATCAACATCAATACCTGGTGAATATTAACTATACATCTCTTATATGCCTGGAACTGGCCTAATCCCAAGAAAAAGTAAGTTACAGAGGAAAAATTGATGCTGAAAATGAAAGCAGAGAACTAATTCTAAGTTGGTCTACAATGTTTTAATATTGTCTCAAGAACACTGTGCAAGCTTTAAACTATTTTATATAGAGATTGAATAGCTTCAGATTTGTGATTTATAAACCACATGGGGTGATATCGACCAAGATACACTGTACTCATAAACTGACATGTTTAATTGAAACCCCTTTGTATAACTATTTAAAGACAATTTTTAAAAATCACTATCAGCATCTATGGAAAAAAGATTGGGAGGCAATAGTAAATCAGACTAGAAGTGATGCATGTGTCCTGAGTAGTAGGCATGCCCCAAATTCAGGCAATGGTAATAGGGATGGATAAGGAAAAGCATCTTATATAACTGCTTTTCTTTTTTGCTGTTCTGGGGACTTGAACTCAGAGGCTGGGCACTGTTGCTGCTTTTTCACTTAAGGCTAGTGCTCTACCACTTGAGCCACAGATCAACCTTCAGCTTTTTGGGTGGTTAACTGAACATAAGAATCTCATGGACTTTCCTGCCTGGCCTGGCTTTGAACTGTGATCCTCAGATCTCAGCTTCCTGAGTAGCTAGGATTACAGGCATGAGCCAGTGTATTTTTTAAGTAAAAAAAAAGTATCATTGTAAACTATTAGAAAAGAAAGATATGGAAGTGGCACTGTAGCTCAAGTGATAGAGCACTAGCCTTGAGCTGTAGAGCTGAGGAACAGCGCTCAGGCCCAGAGTTCAAGCCCCACAACCAACCAAAAATAAATAAATAAATAGAAAAGAAAGATATGAAAAGGTCAGAAAAACGTCATATGCATACAATTAGTTTTAGAAAACCTCTATTAATATTTTGTATCTAACATTACCTGATACTTTCCCCATGTGTACATATATACTTGACATGGGTGAAATATGCACATGGTTGTTTTATTTTTATTTGGGTTTTTGTGTTAGTGGTAATGGGACTTGAACTTGTGGCCTGGGTGCTGTCTCTGAGCTCTTTTTTTGCTCAAGTCTAGCTCTCTACCACTTTGAGCCACAGCGCCACTTCTAGTTTTCTGGTGGTTAATTGGAGATAAGCTTTCACAGACTCTTCTGCCTGGGCTGGCTTCAAACCACAATCCTCAGATCTCAGCCTCCTGAGTAGTTAGGATTACAGGCGTGAGCCATCAGTGCCGGGCTTGTACATGTTTTTAAAATGGGACCTACAATACTGTGTGGAGAGTTTTATGACCCAAATTGTCTCTCAATATGTAATAAACATGTTTCCACATAATAAACTTTAGAAATACAGCTTTCTTCTCAATAGTACCACAATTATTCCATCACATCTCTAGTATTGGACATTTGTGATGTTATTTTTTTCCTCTGGCATTAATATGAACAATTATGGGATAGGCTTACGGGGAGCTGAAGCTTTGGAAACATCATGCTTATTTCCGAAACAGAGAGCTCTAGAAGTTGAAGTGGTAGGCTGAAAGCTATATAAAGCTATAGTCTTTTTTTTCTTTTTTCTTTTTCTAGTCCTGGGGCTTGAATTCAAGGCCTGGGCACTGTACCGGAGCTTCTTTTACTGAAGGCTAGCACTCTACCACTTGAGCCACAGTGCCACTTCTGGCTTTTTCTGTGTATGTGGTACTGAGGAATCAAACCCAGGGCTTCCTGCATGCTAAGCAAGCCCTCTACCACTGAGCCATATTCTCAGCCCTGAAAGCTATATTGTGTTTTTAAGATTTTTGATACATATGGATAAACTGCTATCTAGAAGGGCTGTATTAAATTATAGTCTCACAGCAGTGTCATGACTAGGAGATGGATTTGAGAATGATGCCAAGGATGAAATCAAATGGGCTTGATAGGTAGAGAAGAAGGATGTTTCCTAGGAAAGTATCAGGGGAAAAGGAACATGAACTCTGTCAAGAGGAGCAAAGCAGTAGGCAGGTTAAACAAACAAGTGTAAATTATGAGGAAAAAAGGTAAGACAACCAAGGAAGATTGGAGAAAATGACAAAAGTATGAGAATTTAAATTGACTGTTTCATTCAGCGCAAGCAGCAAACGTAGTGAATAGCTGATTTTTCATATGCTTAAAACTTTGCTGCCAAAGACCTGAGTTATGCTCATATGAATATATTGATCCTTTTTTCTCATCTAATAACCACTTATTTGGTCTCTAGTATGTCCCAAGTACTATTCGTGTATTCTATGCATAGGGAAATGAATGAGATCTGGTCCCTGTCTTCAAGGAGCTCACAGTCTAGTACAGTTAATGGAAGCATTCACAGACTGACAAACTATGATGTGGTTCAGGCTGGAATAGAGAAAAGTGTAGGGTCCTATGGAAACATGAGGCCTAATTAATGTGTATATTATGTGTATGTGGGGAAATATTTATTGGAAAGGTTTCCTTGTCCTGATATTTCATCTGAGTCTTGGAGCCTCACAAGGATACTAAAGCAGGAAGGACTTTATGGAATATTAACCCACTCTTGAACATCAGTAGCAACCTCCAAAAATTCTTAATGCACATAGGAGCATAGCATGTTCTGGAATAGGACACTCATTATATAATACAAATAATAATACAGGCAAATAAGTCATACATATAGATTCTTAAAACAATTCTGTTGGCACTAATATAATACTATTCACATTTACCTAGTCCTACTAATTTTACCTCCTAAATTCCTCTCAAATCTGTTTTGTCTCCTAATATGTCACTATTCTCAGGTCTCTGTAGAAGTAAATACTCATATCCTACTTACATGATCTCCCTCCAGTGTATTCTTCACAGAGTCATTGTCTACATTTGAAAGTCTGATTGTGGAACTCTTTGCTAAAACATTTCAATGATTTGTTCACTGCCTGTCAACACTATTTCTCAAATTTCACTTATTTTGAGTATAATTTGATATTTTACCATATTCATACTATTATTTACTTAATATTTGTCTTTAAATCAACTTAAGACTGGTTCCTTATCTATTTTTATGAAATCAAATCCCAAGTAACTTTAGATTTGATGAAGTAATTAAATTTTGTTCTTTATAAGACACATTCAAATATATAACTAATAAAATTGATCTTTGTGGGAACATAATGTAATCAACATTGGCAGTTTTTTTGAGAGCCACTAAACATAAAGGGACATATCCAAATTTCTTAGCATAGCAGTTGACTCTTCACAAACTAGCTCCAACATATATTTTAAAACTCTTCTCTGACCATCACAACTTCCTTGTCCCCAATAATATGCACCCAGCCACCCTGAATCTGTCAATATTGAACAAACTTCCTACTTTTGCATGATTATATGACTTGAAATGACCACACTGTCTGCAATGCATCCTCTCTACTGTTCTCTGCCTGGAAAATTCATTATCATTCTAGACCTATTTGTCATGTCATCTTCTCACGTAAGACCTTTCCTTGATTCTCTCTGGCCTAAGTACTCCTTTGTCTATTTCTCCACAGTCCTTTGTAACTGTTTTGGTTATACTAGATACTACAGTACCTCAAGAAGTTACATTTCCAACTCTTCATGTAGGTAGAGGACATGCAGATCTAGTGACCTGGGAAACTTTAAAAAATAAAATAAATTGCAAAGTACTGTCTGGGTTCAAATGTCTTAGAGGTAAGACATAGTTCATAAAGAGATTCATATAATCCAGAAATATGCATACTGACTATAATTTTGGCAGACACAGTTAGGTATGGCTGTAACAGCAGTTAAGCTAATTTGGTATTGGCAGATACTTTACAACAGACAAATTCTGACATAAAATTTCAAAATGAATCATTTGGGTTTGTGCCAGGATGATCAACTACACCTCACAATTACCTGTTCTTACCACAACTGGAAAGTCAAGAACAAAAATGACTATCAGTACAAGTAAACCATAGTAGAAAGAGCACAGACTTAGTAGTAAAAAGTATGTACACTCAAATTCCAACTCATAGGTCCTTATGGACCCATGTGACTCTAGGTATTTAATTGCTCTGATTTTTTTGGGAGGGGGTAATAAAATATGTGCATCATAAAACTCTTAAGGTAATGTAATGGTGTTTATGATGATGCCTGGGGCATTATATATAGGCTCCATGAATAGCAGTCATTATTGTCACCCAATGAAATAATTACAATTCACGTTATCTGCTGCACAAGGACAGCGAATGCATTTGTTACTCACTAGGCTTTCAAACTGACAACCACAGATTGTGGCTAAGAATAGCCAGAAAGAAAATTCCTGTAAAATAAGCTTCTTCTTAGATTTAAATTAAACTCACACCTGGAACATACCACCACACTTCTTTGTATTCTCCAAGAATTGATCTCAAATCAGGTTCTCCTAGGATGAAAAGAAAAATCACTCAACCTTAATTTTTTGTCTTTAATTTATTTTATACAGAATATTCAAGCTATTCAAACTGTTATGTTATTAGGAATCCAAGCTTTTCAACATTATGTCTCAATACTTCCTAGTTACATCTCTCATTATAATCAGGCAAGTCTATCTGGTCTACTTCCCCTTTCCAAAATCCAACTCCAGTATTATTGTTTCCTCTGTCCATTTAAAATTCCTTTTATTCCTTTGGAGTCCAAAATAAACTTCACCTCTTCCACAAAACAGATGTTTCAAGACTTCAGAATATTGTGGTTTGGGCTTGAACTTCCACAAACTCCTCACTCATGTTCGAATACCCTTAGACCTACCCCACTGGACCGTCTATACATGTTCAGAACGGTTCACTGTTTCTCACAGTCTACTGCATTTTGTATTCTGTGCCCTCCCAAATGTTTGTCAATATCAATGCTACCAAATTACTGGAAACCCTTAAACTGCCCATTTGTTTAAAACAGATACAATCTGATTTTTACTATCACCAGGACACTGCACTGAACCTAAAAAGACGAACTTCTCAAAAACAAAATCATATCCCCTCTTCTTTCTACCCCTTCTAAAAAGTGAAGGGAAATCCTCAAAGTTCAAAGACGTGGTTGGGAAGGGGGGTGCATAGTTCAGGAGGGCCAATAATCAGAGGCTGATTTTTTTTTTAATCTCACCATCAAAGAAATAGAGAAATTTGACAAAAAGTCAAGTTCCAGAGGCAGTAAGGAATCCCTCACCTCCCAAGGAAATGTGAAAAGGACGTGGAGCTTCATGTCAAATCTGAACTGCAAATTGAGACGAGAAGAAAGGGATTACCCAACTCCTCCAAGCAACGAAATGGGGAGAGCGTCTCTAACCCTACCATAGTCCTACAGTAGAGAGCAGTACCACTTAGTATAACTGAAGGGAGGTGGGGGGAAGAATAGAGCATGCTCCGGAGGCTCCAGGCAAGAGGCGCCCACTCTAAGACACTCTAAGTCCAAACACCCCCTCTCCTGCAGATGCGGAGCTGGGCGGAGTTAGGCACCAAAGACGGCGGCCCCGGAAGCATCCTGCTCTTTAAGGCCCCCTCGGTCCCACAGTCCCCAGCCACAGCCACTCAGGCTTTCTTCCTCTCTGACCTCCAGCTCCCCGGCTACGGAAGCGCTAATCCTTAATCAGCCGCGGACAACCGGGCCGATGCGGCAGCTCCTGGACTCAGAGTGACTTCGTGGCGCCCCACTTTACACAAAAGTCTTCTCAACTTCACAACTCTCACTAACCCGCCTAGGCCTGACAGGGGCCGGAGGCTGAACTCTCTACCACACCGTGGCCGCTGCGGCACCTCCTATTGGTTACCGGACACCGCGGAAGTCTGAGGCGTGTTCTCTTTCCTTATGGGAAATGTAGTTTCAGGTTGCTAGTGGCTGTTTGGAGCAGGGGGTGGGGATGTGGGGGGGGATTGGCAGGATGGTGGCGATGGCAGGGGCGACGGGAAATCTAGTGTTGCCATTGGCGGAGAGATGCAAGTGAAATGGAGTGTGGGAAATGGAGTCAAAAGCGCTTCTTATTGCATATCACCCCTATCCCAGTCCCGTTTCAGGCAGTTTCAGGGCGGAGTTAGACAAAGGAGGGCATTCTGGGTATTGTAGTTTGGAATGCACCATGTGGCAGAGTCTCAGTATCCAGAGTTGTGCTTATGAGGACAGATGAATGCTCTCAATTTACTTTAATGTTCTTAAGAAGCACTTTACATTTGCATTGTGATTTGACATTTTCATTCCTTTTTGAATATTTAAAAATATATATTATGTTATGGGGCTGGGAATGTGGCTTAGTGGTAGATTGCTTGCCTAGAGTGCATGAAGCCCTAGGTTCTATTCCTCAATACCACCTAAACAGAAGAAGCCGGAAAGTGGCGCTGTGACTTTAGTGGTAGAGTGCTAGCCTTGAACAAAAGAAGCTCAGGTAAAGTGCCCAGGCCCTGAGTTTAAGCCCCAGGACTGTCGTGTGTGTGTGTGTGTGTGTGTGTGTGTGTGTGTGTGTGTGTGTGTGTGTGTGTATGTGTGTGTGTGTGTGTGTGTGTGTGTGTGTGTGTGTGTATGATGTTATGGTAAATTTAAAGTTTTGACTGAAAGGAGATATAGTCCTTTAAAAGTTTATCGTGTGAGAACCACCTGAATCAGAATCAATTTAAAGACCTAGGAAAATGAATATTTTCTTTCTGAGAATCCTGTTTTTCCTTAGAAACTGTCTTAAATTAGACATAGAAATGTGATGCAGGGCAGACCACAAGAAGGCAATTTAACAGGAAGTGAAGCTACATGGTTACAGTAACCATTTTCGAATACTGTCCAAGTACAGTTATGTAATGCAATAGCACAAAGTACATACACTATACAACTTAAATAATAACAAGTAACTATATGTTTTTAAGAAACTGCTTTCATTTTGAGCAAAGATACTTCTTAAGAAGTAAATAAATAGATAGAAACATTTGCAAGTAGTTGAAACCCTGAGAAAGATGGTAGTTTATTCGAACTAGTTTTATTCCTAACTTTTTACTTTTTTCTTGCTAGAATGAATTCTTATACCTTGATGGATGCTACATTGGAATTGCTACAATTTTTTTGGTTCAAACAACTTTTGGATCACAAACAGAAGGAAAACAAAGAAAGAATAATTGCATTTTATTAAGGTAATGCCCATGATTTTAAAAGGAGACATGAATGTGGATTTGCTGTTAATTCAGCAAACTTATTTATACAACAATCTAGATTAGGTACTGTTGCCACTAAATTGGAACATAGTTCTTCCCTCATATAGCTTGCAGTCTGAGGGGAGAAGACAGACCAATATATAATGTGCAGACTGCTCTATAGACGTCTACACAGAACTCTGCAGAAATATGGATTAAGAAGAATCTGTTACTTTTGGAGGAGGCCATTCCTGAGGATAAGACTTGAAGAGCCAGTATGGTATGTGTCATGTATAGGCCAAAGAAGTCAACCACACTCTATATAAAGTATGGAAAAAAGGCCTAAAGGCAAGAGAGAGTGCAAGGAACCAAAAAGAAGTTCCAAACTGCAAAAAAACTAGATTGGGTAGGAATAAATAATAAATGGGTAGTATCAATGAGTTCAAACTTTTATTAGATTCTCCCAATGACCTATACCTATACCACATAAAAATAATATTTAGAAGACAAAGATTAAATAAAGAACCTAGACAATAACCTATACCTATACCCCATAAAAATAATATTTAGAAGACGAAGATTAAATAAAGAACCTAGACAATAACAATATTTAAGTAGGAGGAAGAGAAAGATGTGCATTCAAAGTAAGTTGAGAATGAATAGCCACTCAGATATACAAGAAAAAATAAAGTGAATTCATTGAAATATAACACAGAGGGGCCAAATAAAAGAAGGACAGAAAGTTAACAAGGAACTAGGATACTACTCATTCATGTATCTAACAAATATTTTGATATCTGTAATATTCCAGGAATGATTCTAGATAGAATAGAGAAGTGGGAAACAGACAACTCTTTCCTTGGAGGGATAAATTCTAGTAATAAGCAAAATAACTCATTAAAATATTCATATGTGACAAGTAATATTTTCATATAATTATTGAAATGTGTGTTTATATACATACAAAGGTGATATTGTTTGATTTACTGATGTACATGGGTTAATTTGTGAAATAATGACCTAAGTAAGTCAATTGGGCTAGATTCAGAGATAGATTAATAAATTAAGACTCTGTACAGAGCCACTGTAGACTTCAGGTCATGGCCATGGTTCAGGTTTATAATGTAGAATGTTTTTGACTTCAGTGTTTGCTCGGGTTGATACTTAATGAGTCTTTATCTGCCTTTACAGGCAAGAGTAGATCCACGGTTAGTAGACTAGCAAACCAAGGTTGATTATCAGTGTTAGAGCCTAGAGTTACAGTCATGTTTTAGTCTGTGGCATGGACCAGAGCTCATTTCTGATTACTTTTCCCTTATGTGTGTTTTTATTATCTTCCTTTCCTCTTTCCTTTTCCTTCCTCACTCTCTCTCTTTCTCTGTCCTTCCTTCCTGCCTGTCTTATTTTCTTCTTTCTTTTCCTTCCTTTCTTCCCTCCCTCCCTCCCTCCTTCCTTCTTTCTTTCCTTCCTTCCTTCCTTCTTTTTTGGGCTGGTACTTGGGCTTGAACTCAGTCTCATGTTCTCACTTAGCTTTTTCCTCAAGACTGGCACTCTGCTTGAGCCACACCTCTGGATTTTTGCTGGGTAATTGGACTTAAGAGTCTCATGAACTTTTCTGCCCAGGCTAGTTTTGAACTGTGATCCTCAGATCTCAGAATCCTCAGTAGCTAGGGTTACAGATGTGAGCCAGCACCTGGCTCACGTTCTTTCTTCATTTTGATACTGAGGATGCAACTTGAGGTCTTGCACTTGATAGCTAGATCACCAATCCCTCTTATCAGTATAAAAGCTCATGATAAGGCTGCCACTAGTCCTGTGTAGCCTAGAATAATTCATTGTGAAGTCAATGTACAAGATTGAGCTTCAAATTTTAGCCAGTATTAGGATTTCTACTTTATGCAGGAAAAGACTTCATGCTGATATTAATGTTAGGGTTCAGCCTACCCGCTTTAGACATACCATATCAAGAGTTAGGCTCACCAACAAGCTTGAATTTAGCTTTTGGTCAGTGTTACAATCAGTTTTATTTCCAGACTTAGGATTCAATAAAAGCCAGGATTCTGGTTTTCCAGAGCTTAGTGGTTGTGCTGATTTTTCTGCTACACAACCTTCCCCTAAAAAGCTTGTCACAGCTCATTCTGTGGCCAGAATATGGAGCATAATTTATGTGTTAAGTCTTTAGGACAAATATTAGTACACAGTCTCTGATTGTTATTGGGTGTAATGATGTAAGGAGGGTTTGGGGTTAGCCTTGTAGTATAAGGGATTATTTTTGGATAGGCTTAGAGCCTGGTCTTTAGTTCTCAGGCTGCTGGTAAGATTTACAAATGTTATCCATTCATTGCTTCAAATGTGGGCAGGAAGAGGACTCATATTTTGGCCATAGTTCAGCTTAGGCTTCAGACTAAGAACATGAAACATGTTTGTAATGTCTTTGCTTGATTTGTACTTACTTCATGCTTTAAGATTTGAGTTCAGTCACTGGCCAGTATTGCTGAGAAGTTAAGGTTCTCATACTAGAAATCACTTTATGGCCAGGGGTAAGGTTAAAGATGTGGTGGGAGTTAGGAACTAGCAGGAGATGAGCATTTAAAAGAAATAGGAATCATTCTATCTGAAAGAGTCAAGATCAGACCTTAGCCATTTGGGGGAATCAGATTTATTTTTAGTGTAGAAGGTCAGATTTGGAAGGCTTATGAGTTTAGTTTGTGGTGAGAGTTAGGAATTCAGTCTATGGAGAAATTTCAGGATGCAATCAAAGCAGTAAGAGTAAGGCTTAGAAATCAAGTCAGTGGGTAGTGCCAGGCTCAGCCTGTCCTAGGTTATGTGGATTATACTGTGGGAAGATTTGTGAACCAATCTCTGGCTAGATTTGAATTTAGGTTTTGAAGAGGGTTTTGTCTCAGTCTGTAGCCATATTCAGTGTTTGCCTATGTGCAAGCTTATGCTGTAGTAAGAATACATCCTCAAGATTTGGTTTCACTTCTTGGCCTGGATTACAGCATACTCTTTGGCCACATTTAGAGTTTGGTCTCTGTGTATGTTTTCATGTGTGTATGAGGCCAAGTTTAGTAATCATTCTGTTGCCAGTGTTGGGGTCATTTTCTGGTTAGTGCTAAGTCTGTGGAAATTGTAGCTGGGTAGGTTTCCAAGATCAGATCTCAGGCTGTGGCAGAGTGAGAGCATCAGTCTGTGCTCCAGGGTTAGAGCTCAGTTAGTATCTATGCTGAACCTTCATTTTATACTGAGTGTGAGAGTTAGCTGTATAGCTATTCTTGGACTAAGGACTTAACAAACTTAATGAGGGGGTAAAACTTTGAAACATTGTCCAAAAGAGGCTTGGTTTATAGACTGAAGTTTTCAAATATCTGTGGCCAAAGATAAAGGCTTAGTTTGAAATTAGGTGAAATCACCAAGTCCAAAATTCGTAGCTGGGCCTACATGTTGGGTTAGGTGCATGGAAAGTGGCCAGGGTTAAACACAAGACCTACATTTAATGTTGTAAGTGTGGTCTGTGGCCAGGCTTAAGAAAAATTACTACTTCATTTGTGGCATGCAATAGTAGTTTGTTAATTACTTCGCCATAAAAGGGTTCTAAATTGGCCTTTAAAAAAGATTTTTAACAACACAATAGCAGCCATGAAG